TTGATATACAAGCGCTTTGGATTACAAGCATGCTGCCGGAACGAATTATGCTCGTAAACCAAGGTATTACTGTATGTTAAATGCTCGCTTATGTTGTCTTACCTTTCCATAAATTATCTTTAGTTTATTTACATCATGCCTTTGAACTTGCTAGAAAATGTGACTGCTCCAGGAAGGGTCATTTCCCTAGCACAGCTCCCTCTCTCCTTGCATGTATGGACATAGTCCTATTTGGTTCTGGAAGTGCTTAATTATTCTCTGTACTGGCCCAGCTCCTCCCTTCCTTCACTGTCCTACATAACCTTTTGTGTAGCAGCAAGGGGAAGAGTGAAGGGGAATACTAAAGAGTGGCCTTTGAGTCTGCTGGGGCTGCTGACATCCCATGCAAGATGGCGGCGCCCAGCAGCAATCTCTGGGCTTTTGGATATCTATACAAGGGAGATTTTTTAAAGGTAAATAACATGCATAAAATATGCTAAATGCACTTATAATCTTATGGGATGATTGTTGTCAAAATGAATGGTCTGGCCATGGAGTCTCTTTAAGTTAAGCGGCAGGGTCGCTTTAAAGGGCCTATCCTTGCATATAAATTCATAACCTTTCATACACCCGTTAAATGCAGTTTGTACACTCTCCGCTATTAAATTCAATTACATGACATAACAATGCCAAAAACATTTAGAAGTTGTTGTTTTTTGCATTGTGTAGAGAAATGCATATTTTAACTCTTAATAAAAACCTTGATTTTTTTTTTTTTTTTTTTTTTAAGTACGTTTTGTTTTGTTTTTGTTTCAAACAGTAAAAAAATGCTTCTATCTATTAAAAAAATATTAGCCAAAGTTAAAAGAAAAAAAGTCCCAGGCTATTCAGGTAAAGCGGATGAAAGCTTTTTTTCAGACGATCCTTACTTTGCCGGAGTCAATAAACGCAACATCCAGAAATGTGCAATTGCATGCCTATTATTGCTTGGCTTGTAGATTGGCTTGTAGATTGGCTGTCAGACCACATGGGGCTATTCAAGTCCTAAACACTGACAAACATTTTAAATATGCTCCTTCAGACCGTCCGTGTTATTTTTTCACTGGCGGCTTCAGTGCCTGTAAAGAGAAAATAATTGGGAAGTAGGTCAAGTACTGTGAACGTTACCATCACTATTTATTTAAGAATGCTCTATGTACTCAATATCTTTTAGGGCCCCTTAATGTGTGCATTACGTGTGCTATGCTGCATGTGGTATATGTGTGTTGTGGTGTTTTAATATTTATGCTGAATGGTACTCATTCAGTTTAATGGAACACACTTGCCCTTCTGAGCACCACAATGTAAAGATGTGAATGCACTGTACACTGTGGTGTACCAAACTATTAAAAAATAGTACAGGAATGTTTTTTTCCAGGCTCATTAAGGGCCCATTCAAAGTGAACAGTCTGCCTTAATTGAATTCGTGTCAATGTATGACATATTGCAACATTGGCCAGAACTTGACAGTTAAATGATTTGGGGGACTTTTTTTTTTTTAATGACTGCAAAATAGGCAGTGGGGACAGTGAATAGAATTTTGGTGTTCATCATTAGAGGGATTATCAACAGGGAAGGAGGTCCTGATTCCACTATATGGATCTTTAGTTATCACTAGAGGGATCTCCAGCAGAAAGAAGGATGTCCTGATTCCTCTATATAGATCTTTAGTTATCACTAGAGGGATCTCCAGCAGGAAGGAGGTCTGATTCCTCTATATAGATCTTTAGTTATCACGAGAGGGATCCCCAGCAGGAGGAAGGAGGTCCTGATCCCTCTATATAGATCTTTAGTTATCACGAGAGGGATCCCCAGCAGGAGGAAGGAGGTCCTGATCCCTCTATATAGATCTTTAGTTATCACTAGAGGGATCTCCAGCAGGAAGGAGGTCCTGATTCCTCTCTATTGATCTTTAGTTATCACTAGAGGGATCCCCAGCAGGAAGAAGGAGGTCCTGATTCCTCTATATAGATCTTTAGTTATCACTAGAGGATCTCCAGCAGGAGGAATAGGGTTGCCACCCGTACGGTTTTCACCCGGACAGTACGGGTTTCGGATCCTGTGTACGGGTGGGAGGCGGGCTCCCACCTGTACACAGGATTCAAACAGCAGACTTGCTCACCTGGCGGCGGGTGGTGAGCGGCGGGCGGTGAGCGCCGGGCGGTGAGCGGCGGAAGGTGGGCGGAGGAGGCGGCGGCGTCAAAGGACGGATCCGCAAGGAGGCAGAGAAAAGCGGCGAGGAGGCAGTGGTGGAGGAGGTGGAAGAGACAGAGGAGACGGACCAGCAGGAGGGGGCGGGGCGAGGCAGAGACCATGTCGTATCAGAAAGGGGCGGGGCCAGGGTGCCATCGCGCTATAGGAAGCCGGTGCATGCTTGACAGAACACTGGGTCATAGAAGAGCCGTCGAGGTGCGAAGGAGGCCGGGTCCTGCAGCACCAGTCCATCGGTGGAGGAGGCCGGGGACCAAGCAGCAGGTAAGATGATCACACTGCTGCTAAAGGTACCCTGCACAGCCCACCTGAGAGTCTCGGGTGGGCTACACAGGATCTGTGGTGGAGTCTATGTTGGCCAGAGCCCACCACACATCCCGCACTGGTCTGCAGGGTCTTAGGGGGTGTGTGCATGATCTGTGGTGGGCTCTATGGCAGAGCCCACCACAGATCCTGCACAGCCCCCCTGAGATCCTGCGCTCTAGTTTCGTCTTGCCTAGGGCGGCCCCAAACCAGAGTACACCACTGTGTACAGATTGTATATCTGTGGATCTGTGGCACACTGGCATCTTTGTGATTACCTCCAATGTTATTTTAATCACAAAATACATGCACAGTGTACTTTACCAAAAAATTGCCGCGAGGCGCTACAGTGTTCGGGTTTGGCTTGAAGAGAAGGTGGCAACCCTAAGGAGGAAGGAGGTCCTGATTCCTCTATATAGATCTTTAGTTATCACTAGAGGGATCTCCAGCAGGAGGAAGGAGGTCCTGATTCCTCTATATAGATCTTTAGTTATCACTAGAGGGATCCCCAGCAGGAGTAAGGAGGTCCTGATTCCCACGACACAGATCTTTAGTTAGACCAAATTTAGATTACTGTGTCCAGTTCTGGAGACCTCACTTACAAAAAATATTGAAAATAAAAAAACAAGTACAGAAAGGGGCATAAAAAATGTTGAAACATTTGAGTGATAAAACATATCAGCACAGACTGCAAGAACTGGTATGGATAAAAAAAAAAAGTCCCTTCTGTACAATTATTTTGTGTAAGAAATTAAGGTGGCAAAAACTTCAGCACTGATCCTGCCAAATCATCAGTTTCCATAAGCTTGCTGTCAAATGATGATAGATTCTAATGCTACATGTACAAGCAGTCTTTGGCTCTGTCATTACTAGGAATAGTTATTAGAATGTTGTTGCTATGAAAGGCTGCACCATGTCACTTTATTTTTTTATTATGTAATGCCCAGAGTACATAATGCATTCCATTCCTTGTTGTTGCTTCTTAACAATCTACTCCTATTACAGTCAAACATGCTTCCTAAAGTCAATAAGAGTGGAAGCCAAATAACCAACCAGTATATTTTGGGTTCCTGAGCACTCTGGAGGAAATCCATATACAAATGTTGCAGATAGTGGTGGCCCTAGTGGGAACTAAAGCCAGGACCTCACAGTTTGGTCGCATTGTTGAACTTTTGTTTTGTCCTTGGTCTAGGTAGAATTTCAGTAATTGTCTTTATTTGTATGGCAACTAGAGCACTCTGTGTGAGTGTGTAGCTACACCCCCGGAGCCTAAAGCTGGCCATACACCTTACAGTTATCTGCAGATTTTCTGTGGTCAGATGGAAAAGGTGCAACAGATTCCTCCATCTGCACTTAACTGTGTGGATAGAGTAATATCCACCTGGGCCAATCTGTTGCACTTTTTCCATCTGACCACAGAAAATCTGCAGATAACTGTAAGGTGTATGGGCACCTTTACCTGTGGCACGAGGGCCACATGTGGCCCATTGGTATTGATTGTGGAGCCCTTGGAGCCCAGCAGCCAGTAGTTGGTGGAAGTAGAGTGGAAGCCTTAATTTGTAAAGTGATGATTTCTACAGGCCTCATGTGACATATCCCCAGTCTTCTGTAGCAAGTCTCCAGTATCCAACCAAACCTGTAACATGTCAACAATCTGACCATCATTTCCATTGGTATGTCTGGAGTCTCTCTTGCATTACATACACTGAGTGGCCAGATTATTATGACCACCTGACGTTTGTAGGCAAATTAGCTATAATTTCGTGCTGAAGTTGCTAGAGGCCCAGACCATTATAAATAGGGAAGCAGGTTGTTTACCACGACAGTAGAAGTGATTTTTTTCTGAAGATACGGGGAAACAACGCGATTTAACAGCCTTTGAACGTGGGATGATTGTTGGCGCTTGGAGCCATGGAGCGAGTATCAGCAAAACAGCAGAATTCGTTAAATGTTCAAGAGCAGCTGTTGTTAAAGTATTTAAAGACCGGACTGTCAGCCAAAAATCTGGGTCTGAACGTGCGAATTGTGGCCGTCAGCGACTAGTCAATGTTAGGGCAGAACAGAGAGTGGCAAGACTGTTACAAGACAACAGAAGGGCAACAGTGCAGTGTCAGATTCCTCGCATCACCTTTCAACATCTTGTGGAGTCACGAGGCGGCCCAACTAAGTCATCTTGTGGAGTTATCTCGTGGCCCAACGAAGTACTGATGGGGTGGTCATAATAATCTGGCCACTCAGTGTATACTAAAGATTATGAGTTGTCACGAACTGCAGTTGAGGCCCGCATACCTCGTAAGTTGACATCCACTGATGTACATTTTTTAAATGTCTTTTTTTTCCATTATTATCTTATAACAATTTCCCTTTGAAAAGTAAGGGTCCAACGAGGGTTTCTAGAAAGCTAAACTTGTAGGAAGAGTATATGGATACTGTAGACTGTAACAGGCAGCTGGATACAACCATTTAATTTAGCCTACCTTTGTTAGGGGAGCTGGAGGAACTGGTTTATCAGCAGGCACGGGTGGTGGAGCTTTGGCTGGTACTGGTTTGGCGGTAGGCACAGGTGGCGGAGCCGTGGGTGGTACTGGTTTGGTGGCAGGTACTGGTGGTGGAGCAGTGACTGGTACTGGTTTGGTGGCAGGAGCCATGGGTGGTACTGGCGGTGGAGCCATGACTGGCCTCTGAATTGCCTACAACAGGACACCCGCATTAATATCACATTTTCATATACCAGACTAACTAACTAATCACTTTTTAAGTAATAGGTCTTGAACTTTGGTATAACCTACCGGTGACTTCTTACTAAGTTCTACTGATGTGGTCTGTTGAGAAAAGAAAATAGATACATATATAACTGAGTTTGTACAAACCTTATTTTAGAATCTACAGTTTAGAACACTACTAAGAAATTATCAAATGAAAACGTTCACTTTCTGCCCTGATGACCGTTGTTACCTGCACAAAAAATGATGGGAACGCCAGACATCTCAACTGTCCCAGACGGGAGTCTCCCGTCTCCCGCTATCAGGGCCAGTGCAGACCTGGCCTGGGACCGCGCAGTCGTGTACAATTGCACACAGCAATTGCCGCACGGCCTTATTTATTTCAATGGGGTTACATCCTCGCGGCAATGGCAGAAAAAAGGTACATGTATCTTTTATTACGACGCTCTGCTGTTTTAGCTGCACAGACGGAATCGCCGCGGGAAACTGCGTGATCTGCCCGGGGCGACTGGGGTACCATTAGAAAATAATGGCAATGCCAACACAATCGGCTGTGGTGGGCGACTGTTACCACACAGCAATCCGCGCAGTATCATGCACGATTGCCGCGCGTTCACGGATCGCCTAACATAGCAGCTCCCTGACGCCCGGGAGAGAACAATTTTATCCCGGAAAGGTTTACCTTTCCGGAAACCCCCGCTATCTGTTTTTTTTTTATTATCATTTTGACGTCAGAGTAAAAAACAAAACAGCATGGGAATGAATAGCTAGGCTGATTTTTAAATTTGCAATAGCCAATAGCAGGCTGGCTATTGCACCTACCCACTGCTGCTGTCAATCATCAGAGGTGGACCTGAAGTTCTCTTTCAGGTTCTCCTCTGCAGATTGACATTAGCAGTGGGCGGGTGCAATAGCCAGCCTGCTATTGGCTATTGCAATTTCAAATGGCCAATAGCAGCCTAGCTATTCATTCCCCTGCTGTCTGTTGCTTTTTTTATTTATTTGTACAGCGGCTGAAACAGCAGATAACATGGGAATAGAATTAGCTCTTCTGCTATCTGCCATCATTTCAGGGAGGTACCCCTGAGGTACTCGCGGATGGAGTGGTTGGATGGGGGAGAGGCAACTCCCTGAAATGAAAAGGGAAATTATTTTTTTCAGGTTGGGATGTCTGGGTAAGCTAAAAATATACATTTGTTGACAGGACAGGACGTGAAGAGAAATCTCCCAGTGAAGGCACATGGTGCAATAGCAACTGGTGGAATTTCATTTGAGGAGATTTCCTCTTACTTCCCGTTATGTTTTGGAAACAGGAAGTGTAGTAAATCTCTGAGTTGACAACAACATCTAACTCCTGCCAGAAAGGGGGATTGCCTTTTTGTTGGCAAGGCTAGAGCTCTAACTGATTAGTGTAAGGTTGTTGTGTACTTACCACAGAATACTGCGGGGCCCAATATCCATCTTTGCTCTGTTGTGGCTGTGAAAGAAAAAAAGAGCTTATTTAGAAGAAGAAATTAGACTATCTGAAAAAATAAACATTAGTATAAAAAAAATAACCTGAACTTAAAAAGTGAAGACTTGCTATGTCATAGGGAGCCATAAATAGAGCCAAAAATGTTAATTTTGCCAAAGCAATCCCCTGGATATTTTTTGTGCTGATTTTTTCCTGTACATCCTGAAATATGATTGTGTCTACAGCATGAGGTCATCTAAGACACTGATATCTCTGTGTGCTAGTCTCATCTAGACACGTGCATGGCTGAAAACTTTGTTTCATTTTCATGTAGTTTTTCATTTTTTTTTTTATGTTTTCTGAAATTCTGATCCGTTCGATGTCACTATTTAGATCAATCCGAAGTTTTCATTTTCGGAATTTGGATCGATTTAAATCTATTTGGATGGAGCTTATATGTAGTTCAATGTGAAAATTGAGAAGAAAACAGTTTGCCCCCCCCAACCCCCCCCCCCCAAAAAATAACTATTAGCTTAGTCAGAACAATTGGATTTGAGCAGCAGGAAAGGGGGATTGTGCGGCCCCCTCCTCCCCGTATCATACCAGGTCCCTTGCCCTCAACTTGGGGCAAAGTCTACATGTTGATGCGGACAACGGCCTCTCCCCCACAACCCTAGCCCAGTGGTTGTAGGGGTCTGCCGGCAGGGGGGCTTATCTGAATCTGAGTGCCCCCTTTCTCACCAATGTGATTCATGTGACCAGCTTCAGACGGGAGGCACGAAAAAAAATGACAGCTGCCAGTACCCGCAGTTGTCACACATTCTGCAATTACATACAGATGATCACATGGAGTCTCACAAAGCAGTGTGTGAGACTCATGCGGCCGGCCCCATTCGCAAGTGTGCACGGGGCCTTAATAAATCTGCTTCTTTATCCCAATATTCTAAGACACATTAGGATCAGAAAAAAACAAGGCAATATTTTGTGTCAAAAATATATGAACCTAGCTGAGGGGGCTGTTTTGGGCCCCAAAACATACAAGTCCTGTGAGGTTCCTGTGTGCAAAATCTGGACGTGATAAACAGACAGAAATTTCTCACTCTCCTAGCAATCTCCCAGATACTTCTTTTAATGCAGGTTTAGAAAAATCAGATGGGTTGGTATGGGCAGCTCAGAGACTTGGTTAGTTTGGGTTAGTAGATGTAAGTCTTGAAGTCTTACCTGTGGTGGGGATACACTTGAACCAGCCTTTTTCTGTTGCTTCTGGTCAATGTATGCTTGGTTTGTGGCACCTGATATCCCGGATGGAGATCTGTCAGAGACACAGCAACAGTCAACAACTCATCCAATAGTTCTCATTCTGTACATCATGGGAGAACACTATGGTTAGAGCACAATCCTACTAAAACTGCAAACAACCTACTGCCTATGAATGTGGTTGCATCTGACAGAGTAAAACCGAACTCTGGACACTTTCACTTAAATATATTCCTCAAAATCCTGCACTTTCTGTGTACCAAATATCCGTCCTCCCTCTAGGTAGATGCAGGAATATGGGCACTGGGCAGCTCTACCTAAAGTGAGGACGGCTGGACACCGTATGAGGTTATTAAATGTGCAGAAGCCCAAGTTTTGCAGCTGTGATCGAGTGATCACAATTGCAATGCTTTCCAGGCTTGAATGCAAATATTAAAGAAATGCATATTTTTGTTATATATTATTAATTAGGCATTTCTTTATTTTTTGCAAAAGGTGACATTATTCTTTAACGTAAGCTGACAAGCAATTCAGAACACTAATTGCCCAGCAAAATGTCCTACTGATATTTATATATCCCTTTTGTGAGAGGATGTATCTGCTTTTCAACATAATATGTGGCACATTTTAAATATTCCCAATACTAAATGACAAAATCTGTTAGACAATCACCTTAATGGCATAAGTATGCCATATCTCCAGTCTTTCTCTTTCCTTAGGCTGGGTTCACACCTGGGCGTACTATAGGCACGTTTTTTAGCTTGTTTTTTAGCATGTTTTTTCATTCAGTGAAACGCGCGTTCAATATTCGTTTTTATACCTCCCTGGCGGTATGATTTTTTTTTTTTTTTTTTACACGCTGGGTTTACACCTGGGCATTTTTCAGCGCTGATCGAAGCGCTAAAAAACGCTTAGCAAGTGAAATCCCATAAATTCCTATGGGCATGGTTCCCACCTGGGCGTATTTCAGCCCGTGGAAACGCGCTGAAAAACGCCCTACGCCCAAACAAGCACAGGAGCTTCTTTGGGGCGTATTTCAGCACGTATCCATTGTTATTCCCGAGTGTGGCACGGGGGTTAACAAAGCGGTAACCCCGAGCCACACTCGGGAATACAGAGTAGGTCTTAGCTTGCCCACGATCCCCGTTGTGTCCTCCGGCCGCTGCTGTCTTCCGGGTTCCGTCCCTTGCGAGTGTCCGCGAAACCGGCGTAAAGTTTTAAAGTTAAAAAAAAAAAAAAAGACACCGAAAAAAAGATAGAGAACATAAAAGAAAAAAAAATCATACCGCCGGGGAGGTATAAAAACGAACGTTGAATGCGCGTTTCACTGAGCAAAAAAACGTGCTAAAAACTGGCAGAAAAAACGCACCTATAGTACGCCCAGGTGTGAACCCAGCCTAATAGATCTATGGTAATCACATTAATGCTTGCCAGTAAGTACATGGATCTTCTTAACCCTTCTTGAAATGATTCCTAACCAATATATGTAAGGATTTTTTTTAAGGTGCCTGAAAATAGGTCCTTGAATTGGTTTTAAATTGGCTACAATGCATGATTGATAGGAGCTTGTATTTAAAGGCCAAGTTCACCTATTGAATAACATTCCCTATGCCAGTGGTTCTCAACCTGGGGGTCGGGACCCCCTTGGGGGTCGAATGACGATTTGCCGGGGGTCGCCTAGCGGCTTCCGGCTACCCAGGAGAGAAGCGCTATCTCTGCTCTTTTTTTTCTGACAGGGTTAAAAGTAAACCTGCCGCTCCGTGTGCACAGTGAGAGGGAATAGCAGTCTTCCCCTCTCACCTGTCACAGAAGTTCCAGCACAGTGCTGTGCTAGGACTCCTGTATTGGAGGTAACAGGGTCAATAAAGAGAACCTGTCACCTCCAATTGCTATTACACAGGGGCTTGTTACCTCTGTGTGATAGCAATGAAGTTAAGTGGAAAAAAAATAGATAAAAAAATTATTAAAGAAATAGAAATAAAAGAATTAAAAAAATAAAAAAGCGATTAAAAAGAAATAAGAAACAAATTATTAAAAAATAAGAAAATTATAAAAAATAAACAATAATAAGGTGAGAGTCCTCCTCAGCCCTCTCCTAGGGCAGCAGTGTCAGTTCTCCCGCCACGCCGCCAGATGTCGCTGCAGCAGCCGCGTCATCCCTAAATTTTACCGTTGGGGGTCACCACAACTTGGCAAATGTTACCAAGGGGTCCCGGCCCTAGAAAGGTTGAGAACCACTGCCCTATGCAGTCAAGGGGCCAAAAACACTGTGCAGCTTCTAAACCTTTTCTTACTTTCAATGCCATAGCTGTAAGCCATATGCAGCATCCCCTCAGCCCCTGCTGTAAACGAGGATGGAGAGTGCATTGTGCATCTGCACATTTTGAACAAGGGAGAGCGCTTGCTCCTGTGATGCTCGGGTTGTGCCTTAGCGTCTAGCCAGGAGAGGGACATTTTTTGACCAGGCAGTGGGGATGCCCCATGTAGCCAGCAGATGTGGCATTAAAACTAAGCAAAAATGTAAGAAGCTGCTCAGTGTTTTAACCTACTGTGGCCCCTTGAATGCATAGTAAAATGTTATTCAAACGGTGAACTTAGCCTTTAATGGTGGCGTTAAACCTTGTTTAGTAGATTCCTTAAAGAAGTCGGGTCCGCCTGCTAACAGATTGCCAGCTCATGTGTAAACTGAACTTTTTCTGTGAAACCCAGCAGAACACTTATGGAGGGAGGACATGTCTGACTAACAGACTAAGCCAAGAGGAAACTGTGCCAGCTGGAGAGGCTAACCCCCTTTCTGACATATACGGCGTCCTAAATGGAATGTTCGAGTGCTATGCGACTCCAACTAGAGTAGAAATACTGCATTGCAGTGAAGGTGTGATCACTTGTGAACTAACTTATCTGGCCACAGTTAAATCTTCCCTGGATACCTGGACAGAGCAGAGGATGCAGCCATGCCTGACAGAGATAGGGAAGACTATGAAACTTGCATAGACTTGATAAAAAGGCAAAATTCTAGGCTGCATACATCAGCCATATCAGTAGGCAGGATTAGAGACATTAGCAGGGTGTAAGCTAGAGGCACCAAGTACAGCAGGTCAGACTCCCTAGTCTACAATCAGACATATTTCACTGCAAGGAGGAAAAAACCCTAGCTCAAGGTATGAGGCAAGATCCCAGGTACTCACAAGCTCAACTGCTGGGTGCAGCTGTAGATCAAGCCAGTATGAGCGGGCAGAAGGAACAAACTGTTATCAGAATTCCACTGGCTCTTGCAAGCAGTAGCAGCAGCGGGAATGTACTTCATCAACGCTTAATAGTGGGAAAGTGAGCATGGAGCACATGTGTGTGACACACTACCAAGTGAATCATAGCAGCGGTCACTTCCTCAGGGATTAATCCTTCCTTGGTAAAACCAGCTACAGCAGGACATTCAAAAGGCACCCAACAGTGCCAATAACAAAGTAGCTCCTGATGCAGAGCCCAAAAAGCCTACCCAACAAAGTGAGTTTTCAGAGACAGAGCCTTGCCCTGAGGCAACACCATGGCTGTGCACCTAGTACTTGAAGTCTGGAAAACACCACATGTGTAACCCAGTCACCCAAAAGTCACTTATAGGTTAGCCTTCCAACATCCAGTCCAGGAGGGATCTGGATACAGCACTCCAAAGTCAGACTGAGGAAAGGCTGATCCGATAGCTGCCATGTAGAGACTAACTAGTAAAAAAAAAGGTTAGACTTTTCTCAGCTGAAGAAAAGACATCCATCCTCCTAGGATGCAAAAACTGGTAGTATGAGGATTTATCCTAGGCTGGCCTACAACTTTTCTTTTGTTTCCTTGTATTCTCCTGTAGGTGACAGTATTACGTGACAATATATGACTTGCTGTATTCCTCATTGGATGAGAAAGAAAAAGTGATTCCTACAGCTCCAGGAAACCTATCCAATTCCTATTCCCTACTTATACAGACATTTCTTTTTTTAGTATCCTCTAGAACTATCATTCACTCTTTTTTATGAATGTCGCTCGTACTTTTGTCCACATCGCTTAAATTTCTTCCGGAACACAATCATTAACACGAGTCCAACTATCAGAGCCAGGGCAATCAGGATCACAACCACGATGAGCACAATATCTGGAAAGACAAAGAGAGAATACATTAGGTGAATGTGATCTGCTGAGTTATGAGATCTAATTTGACATCTACCATGAAGCAATTTAAAAGAAAAAATATCACCGCTCCAATTCCCATTTAGAGTTCCAGCTACCTGAGAGCCACCCGGATGCAGGTAAAAGAGCTCACTCACGTTCCAACTCGGTAAACAACAGGAAAATTACAGCACAAACATGGGTACCACCATTCAGTGTCTTTACTGAGCGTTCTTCATTCCAATAACACACATGAGCCCCGCCATACTGCCACACACCTCTAACATATTTCACCACACAAGCTTAATCATAGAGGTCTATGTTACCTACCTGTACCCCGACACTTGTCCTTTGGCTCCCCTGGTCTTGCCCGGCTCCCTAGGTTTACCTCGCTTGCATACCCTGGGTGTGTATTATTAAGCTATTGTTCCTGTTATCCTTTGTATGTGTTTGCGGTAGTATTTAGTTGGTGTCACTTTACTTATTCATGATTATTTATGTTTGCTTTTGGGTGTTAGGTTTAGTTGTGCTGTTTACAATAAATGGTATACAACTCATTGATCTTGTCTAGTGTGTTCATACTAATTTGTTCCTCCTGCATGGGTACCTGCATGCGGTGTCAGGACACCTGCGCATGGTACCCTGACACTAAGTTACTAAACTCTCAATTCACTAAGCTACAATGAGTGTAATTTGCCATTACAATTGCCATTTATAGACATTTCTCATTGCTGAAATGAATGGTTATACCATAGCAATCATTATAGCTCAGTGAATTACACTTCAAGTGAAGTATGGCAAGAGCATTTAGCAATGGTGGAACTGATACATTGGTGTTAAAGTTACCCCCGTATTAACTTCAGAGACTTTGAGAAAGCTGGCAGCTAATTGATCAGCGGTATGTTATACTTACTGGTTTCTGAGACACTGTCACAGTAAGGGGGTGTCCAGCCTTCCTGGCACTGACATTGCAGCTCATGGTCACAAACCTGAATTAAATCAAGACAGATTACATAACTATTTGACAATCAATCTAAAAATGTGTTTATTAAAAAAGCAATGAAGTGCTGTACCTGTAGCAACCCATAGGAAATCAGAATGTGCCTAAGGTAACCAAATGTAATCTTTGGTGCGGCTTTCTACATGCTGATGCTCTGTTTAATAGGTTATTAAAAGGAGAACTATGGGGTCAGGGCTTTTCCCCATAGTTCTCCTAAGGGTCACGGGAGAACACAAACTAGCGTTCTCCCGTGACCCAAAGCTCAGTATACCCGCGAGCTACAGCTCGCGGTATACTGAGACGCAGCAGCCGGGACGGATCCCGACAATACTGTCTGGATCCACCCAGCTGCGGGATTGACAGCTGGCTCTGCCTATGCAGAGCCAGCTGTGCCCTCCCCCGTCCGTTTCGCCAGTCAGGGCTGGAGGATCGGAGGGGGGAAAATCCCTGCAGGGAGCCGTGAGTGACAGCCACGGCTCTCTGCAGGGATAGATCGAGAAGTGAGCGAGCGCCGATATGTGTTCGCTCACTTCCCGATCTACTGAGCCAACCTGTGACAGTTTCATTGTCACAGGTCGGCTCAGATTATGAGGCTGAGTGAAAATCACTCGCCTCATAATTCTCCTTTTAAGAAAGCCGCCAACAATGAAAGGAGACTATGTTCATATATTAGCTACTAATATTCTAAAAATGAAATATTGACCAGAACAGTTTTTTTTAGTTCAACAGAAGATAATGGTTCAATGTGTCCAGAGAAAGGGGATTCCCTCTCCTAATCTTTTACATAGATACATAGTTAGTCAGGTTGAAAAAAGACACAAGTCCATCGAGTTCAACCTATAGAGATATGAACAAAAAAAGCCTCCACAGAACGCTACGCCCACAATTACCCATTATTTTTCGCTCCATAAGACACACTTTTTTCTCCCCAAAAGGAGGGGGAAAATGTGCCTGCGTCTTATGGAGCGAATCCCGACGCCCGAGACATGCAGTTTCGGGCGCCGGGTGAGTAGTAGGAGCCACTGCTCGTTTAATACGAGTGATCTAATGAGATCACTCGTATTAAAGCCGAGCGGCGGCGACGATCGAGATCACCATAGAGCAGACAAAGAACGGACTTTCTTCGTCTGCTCTGTGTGATCACTGAGACCGTGGCGCTGTAATCACAGCGCCACCTGTCTCAGCGGTCATTAACTGCAGCTTCTGTCACAGCTTCTGTAATAGAAGCTGTGACAGAAGCTAGTCTGTCGAGTGCTCCATAAGGCGCGCCGGACCTCCCTGCGTCCTATGGTCCGGTGTGTCTTATGGACCGCAAAATACAGTATGTAGATCAGGAAAGGCAGGAATAAAAAGTCTTTAACTTCATAACTTCAGACTTCTTTTGGGTAACTGACCTAAAATGTTCTGAAGCCTTTGGATCTGTAGAATAGCCAGGTAACTGGTCTTTTCAGAAAGAGAGGTCAGCAATGGCAGACCACATATCTGTCCTGACACAAGTGTCCTTTGACCTACACCACCCAACAACATGTTCAGTGTATAGTGAGTTCTTACCCCATGTCCTGGGCAGCTGGAAGAACAATTTACTGAACGGAAGGCGCTGTTTATATCCACACATTTCCCATTGTAACAAGCCTACAAGAAAAGGTGTATACAATTATTACATACAGGAGAAACAGGACAGTTTGAGATCTACTTGTTGTGGTATTAAATGACCACCAGTTAATTCAGTATGAGCAACCCTCAGTTATTTTCCAGACTGAGATATTGCTGGCCCGGAGCATACAAAAAACAATGAAAGGTCTAAGAGTGTATGCTTAGCTCTTGCATTATGTATCATTGAAGACCTTGTTTTTTTCCTGGGACCTGAAGAAATGTTTGCCTTAAGACAGGGATCCTGTGAGGTCCCAAAATGTCAGTTTGTGATGCCTGTTACCTCATGTGAATAAAGGACAAGGTTACCACCAGGGCCAGATTTCCCACAAGGCCAACTGAGACCTGGCCTCGGGGTGGCAGGGAGTTGAGGGGCAACAGGGACTCCTATCGCCCGATGCCAAGGACATGAAGTTCCGAGCAGGTAGCCGTTTTCTACATTTAGCTCTGCTTTGGACAAGCAGAGCTAAATGTAGAGCGGGGAAGCAGCTCTTTCGTTTACAAGTGATGTTGGCAATGTCGGCCGAGATGCCTCCTCCAAATGCTATCACACAGGGGATTGTTAGCCTGCTGTGTGAAAAAAATAAAATACATTTAAAAAAAAATTATAAATAAAAATTAAGAAAAAAAGTAAAAAAAGAAAACAAAATTAAAACTAACTCTGCCACCCCCGTCGCTTGATTTCTATTCTCTATTGGGGGAGTTGGCGGGGAGGGGGGGCGCATAGAGGAACCTGGCCTTGGGGCAGCAGAGAGAGTAAATCCAGCCCTGGTTACCACTATGTTAAGGTGTGCTGGTAAGGATCCTTATATTCTCCTGGGACCATCAAACACACACGCTCTTAAATAACCCTATATACACTTTTTCCTCATGACAGATACAAAATGTACAAAGTTTATTTTAGTTTCCCCTGTGCTTACCATTCCTTCTGCACACATTGTTCCATTCTGCACCATTCCACTCGCATGTAAAACCGCCCGACAGGAAGAAATTGATGCAACAGGTCCATTTACTGCAGGATTGGCGCCTCCTCCAGAGCAGTACAGCACTCCACACTTTATATCGCTGCACAAAATATAAATCATGTGAAAAATGTTCTCCACGATTATAAGATTTAAAATATCACATGAAAAAACAGTTATACAGATGCTGTATGTGCACACACAAGATTTATTTCTGTCTCTAGGTAGGGATCTGCTATATTTAGTAGGTCCATATGACTTGTAAAAGTGGCATGGCAGCAGGAAAAGAAAAAAATGCCTGCTCTCCTGGAAATTCTAGTTGCCTTTGATCCAATTGTTTCATGAGTCCCAGACATAGACCGAGTATGGTGATGACTCCATGCTTAGTCCATACTCCATATAATAGGACTACTGATACTTCTCTGATCCAGAACACATATGCAGATCAGGCAGGTGGACTCAAAGTAGCAAGGCTAGTGGGGCATCAAAACAGCCAGTTAGCTTTCAGAGGAAAGCAACGGTAGCCCCATATTCAGGGCCGAATTTACTCTCTCTGCTGCCCCAAGGCCGGGTTCCTCAATGCCCCCTCCCCATGGAGAATGGCAGACCTGCATACAAGTGATCCCGGCGACATCGCTGAGATCACTTGTACAAAACAAGCCGCGGCTTCCCCGATGTGCAGGGCTAAATGTAGAGAACCACTACCCGCCGGGCGCCCGGAACTTCATGTCCCAGGCATCGGGAGATAGGAATTCCACACCCCTGCTGCCCCTCTACTCTCTGCTGCCCCAAGGCCGGCCTTGGTTGGCCTTGTGGGAAATCCGGCCCATATTTCTCCTATGACTGGAGTACTTCTTTAAGGGTTTGTACACATGTGCTTCAAAAGTGCTGTTTATTTCCCAACGCCCGTCTAAAATGGTGTAGTGCTTGCTATACTATAAGGTTATACTATACTACAATAGGGTACTCACTTTGGCCCACATGCCACATAGCTATTGGCAATGTATTGGCAGTATCCATAGTTGGTGCCTCTCCTATTGTATCCAAAGCAAAGGTCCTGTCCTATTGTAGCACCTGCGGAAAGAGGTAAATTGATCATCAGTGACTCAGTTCTGAAATGATCCAGCTTGCTTGCAGCTTTACAATAAAAAAAAAAAGCATCTTATCGGTTGTTTTTTTATGGTATAAGGATTTGATAAAGATTTCACGACTGCTGCTGTGACAATCTTTGTAGATTCTGAGAGAGCATTGAGTGAACCGTGATTTCTCAGTTGATCAGTTGACGGTGATTATTGGCTGATTATGTTCCATGTTCTTTAATGTGACATTAAAGAACATGGAACATAATCAGCCAATAATCACCGTCAACTGATCAACTGAGAAATCACGGTTCACTCAATGCTCTCTCAGAATCTACAAAGATTTGCAGATCATTGCAATCAGTCAACAATATGTGCAGTACATAAAATGGAAAAAAAAAGATGCACTTGCCTGCGCCCCACATGCTCTGGCACTGGCTTTCCAAAGTAGGGCACTTCCCATTGTAGCAGAAACCTTGGCCATCATTGCAGGGATGTCCGTTGTAGATAAAGCGATCGGGTGGACATTCTGAAGACTTCCCATTACACATGTCTGCAAGGTCACAATCATCTTTTTGTGATCTGCACACAGTTCCTGCTTTCTTGATCTGCAAGAGGACAAGGAATGTCAGGAGAAAATGTAATTATATATATAGATATATATTTATATCTATATATATATATAGGTCAACAATTTTATATTCATAGTTATGCCAGCCATAGATTTATTGGCAGAGGCAAGTGTGATTTCAGGCCCCCCTTTGATAATATGTAAACAGATGTGTCACAAGCTATATATCTCTCCATTTTTAGGAAGGAACTGAATATGCATGAGGAAAAAAATACAATTTCCAGCTTCCCAACGTCTGACCCTTTCTCCCTTTAGTACAGGTTGGCAAGTTCCCAGGTCTACATAGAAATAAGAGAGTCTGGAATACCAATGTGGATGAATCTGATTCATGGCGTTGCTATAGGACCTATGATTAGGATTGCCACCTGTCTTACAGTCCGGGTTTTGAGCCCTGTATGTGTTGTGTATGGGTTTCAGCTGGCTTGCTACCCGGACACAGCACATACAGGGCTCATTGTGACAAAATGTCACAATGTCAGGTGGACAGGGGCAACTGTGGGGTCCTGGTGTTACCAAGGGTTGCCACCTTTTTTTTAAAAGAATTTACTGGAGAGAGCGAGGACAGCCAGGAGAGAGAGAGCAAACAGGCAGGAGAGAGACAGCCAGGAGAGAGAGAGAGATAGCCAAGAGAGAGAGTGAGGAGAGAAAGCCAGGAGAGAGAGTGAGGAGAGACAGCTAGGGGAAAGAACAGACTTGTAGGGTTGTCACCTCATCTGGATCCACTCTCTCCCCTGGTTGTCTCTCCTCACACTTTCCCTTTGGCTGTCTCTCCACACAGTCTCCCCTGGCACTCTCTCCTCATTATCTCTCCTCGCTCTCTCCCGTGGCTGTCTCTCCTCGCTCTCTCTCTCCTGACTGTCTCTCCTCGCTCTCCCTCTCTCTCCAAGCTGTCTCTCCTCTCTCCTGACTGTCTCTCCTCGTTCTCTCTCCTGACTGTCTCTCCTCGCTCTCCCAGCTGTCTCTCCTCTCTCCTGACTATCTCTCCTCGCTCTCCCTCTCTCTCTCCTGGCTGTCTCTCCTTTGCTCTCTCCTGTATATTCTCCATGGTGATGTTTCAGGCATTGCATGGAAACAGGGGTACCAGCCCGATCCTGTTGTGGTGGTGAAGGGGTGGTTGCTGGTGTGATGGTGAGTGGTGCCTCTACTGTGGAGCTGTCAGCTGTAGCTCCAGATGCAGTTAGTGCTCAGGAAGCATTCGGTCACACTTTCTTGTACTGTGTCAATCCTTGAGTTGTCCATACTTGCCAGCCCTCCTTGTCATATGACCATTGCAACATTTAATTGCTTGTATCCACAATCAGTAGGCCTGTTGTGTTTTAAGATAGGAACTGAAATGGCTCATTTTTATGCAATGATGTAGAGCACAGAAATGCACATTGGTACAGTGGCAGTGGGGTTTGGCATAAGGGCTGGGAATGGAAAGATGTAATGCTTTATCCTCTATAACTATATTATATTTCTACATTATTGGACATTCCACTTACCTTACAATTCTCACAGCATTCTCCATCTGCACACTGGGCTGTAACTTTGAATTTGCAGGTGGCAGCATCACAGCAAGGGTTGGTACATTCCTGCAAAACAGTCAGTAGTACATATTCATGAACAAACCTAGAACACTGACACTGCTCCCCAGCTAAGAGCATATCTGCACACCACCAGGCAGTGCCAATTCATGCCAACCAAGAATAATGGGGTGGTCTGTCCCAAAAATGGATGCACCCACTGTTTTTCGGCCACGTATCAATCATAAAATGACATAGTGATCATTAACAATAAGAATGGATTTGTGCTTAAAGATTTTAAAGCATCTGAATTGCTATAGAAAGTGCCATATTGTGATTTTTAAAGACCAAAAAAAAACAAACCCCCATTTACCGTTATTTAAAAAAAAAAAAAAAAAGGGATGTGGCAGAATTTTGTTGAAAGTCTTTCATACAAGGAGCATCTATGTACTTCCAGAGGCATAACAAAAATTAGAAAGCCCCCCAGTCCTCCTCCCCGGATGGCCAACTGTTTCAGAGATTGAGTCATTGTAAATACAAACTGCTATCAAAAGTGCCATCCGAAGACAATAACTTTCTAAATTTTTACAAAGACTTAAGGTGCCCATACACCTTACGACCATCGCAAGACTTTTGTCTTGCGATGGTCGTATGCTTATTGAAAGCAACCTTTAAGGTGCCCATACACTGCTCGAAACTCTCATACGAGAATCGGGCGAAATCCTGAGATCGTACGAGAATCGAGCAGTGTGAACGAAGACGTGCGACCGTTTCTACTGTACGGTCGCACGTCTTTTGTCGAACCAACATGCTCGAAAACCCGCCGAGAATCGTACGATTGTAGGGCGGGTTTCTAGCCTGCTCGTCCGATAGCTGCGGAACGGGCCGGTGTGGGCAGATCGTACGAGCTTTCAATAAGCATACGACCATCGCAAGACAAAAGTCTTGCAATGGTCGTAAGGTGTATGGGCACCTTTACAGTACAACATTTTTGGAAAGCCCCCCTGGTTGGCCAGTGGTGTCAGATGTGGGTTATTTCAAACAACAAACCTGTACATGATTATCTCCAGCCAGATATCCTACCAGATAATTACCTTTACAGTGCCGCAGTCACAGTCTTCGCCTATCTCAGTGAATTTGTTGCCACACATAGAAGGGGACTTAATAAACTCTTTTGATGGCTCAACTTTCATACATGCTGGCATTCGGTTGAAAATGAACTCCTGGAAGTTTGTAATACTGCAGGGACTGAAGAGACGAGGAGTGTTATAGCTGTATGAAGAGAAAATGGTAAAGGTTCAGTATTGTGTTGTCATGGGCAATGCTTCATTTATGAATGGTCTTGAATCTCTCAATCATAATTTCAGCATCATAAACAGGACAAAATATGGAATAAAACAAATTTTTAATCTACAGTATCTCTATATATTTTAATACTGACCAGGGCTGTCCCTATAATGAGGCGGTTGCCTCATGTGGCATCTTATTGGGTCACGTGAGCTCTTAGTAACCTATTATGCTCTGGCCCAGCTCACTGACGTCACTGGTTGCCAGGAGCTGAGCAGAATGCTTTGGCTGGTGTCCCGCCCAGCTATTGGCAACCAGTGATGTCAGTGAGCTGGACAGGATGCCAGATGGAGGAAACGTGCACCCCCCGCTGCGCTGCCAACACACCCACTGAGCGCTGCACCCAAACACCCCTTCTCCCTGTGGCCTCAGGTGGTGAAAAATGTAGGAACGCCCTTGTTACTAACACTAAAAGATGGGTTTTTTTTTTTTTTTTTTTACTTTTTGTCCATGGATTGAAGAGGTTAATGGACTGTAAGAGTAGACAAACCCACCTCAGAGTGGGTGCCATGATACAGGAATCGGCAGGACAGTTGCAAGAGCTGGTGTCATGATTCATCCCCAGGTTGTGTCCCATTTCATGAGCAACTGTGGCACCAACAGAGACGGCGACCCTGCTGTGATCCTGGAAGTAAAAGGAAAGAGTCAGACAGCAAAAGACAATCACACTTTAGAAGACAAAGTCAGAAGATGGAGTTTGAGACAATTTTAAAGCGGATGTAAACAATGAACTTTCTCTTATCTGCTCCCTTTTGGTTTGTTAAATAAACCATTGAAAGTATTTTGTTATATCTGATTTCCCCCCCTTTGAGGGTCTTTATAGAAGGTGAGCGGCCCCACTGCGAGGGTAGTATACTGTGGTGCAAGGTGCCACTTGGCAGAGTATCAGAGATGCACGTGGCTATTTGAACACTTGGGAACGCAAACACATTTGTCAATTGTTTGCTTTCACCATATGAAAAATAGACATTTAAGTTTTATTGATTGAGAGACATTTTGAGGCACATATTGTTGGAATTAAGAAAAACATAGTTTTTTGGCACTTTATAGTTGCAATAGTTAGTGTTACATTATAGGTTATTTTGTTTGTGGTACAGGAAGGCTGGGGTATAGAATAAAGTGGATGGTGGAAGTAAGCAGGGATATGGGAATACACGGATTGGTTAATCTCTGATGATAGTGACAACCATATTATGTGAAGGTGATATTGGATATACCTGACCGTAGAAGAGAGTGCATAATCGTGCTTCTGCCTTGTGTATCCTTGTGGTCTCACCACAGCCTATGGGAAGGGGGAGGGCTTCTGACCTCTCCTTCCCTGGATAGATCCTTACTCGTCCTGAGATACCCAGATAGATATATTGCCTCTTATCCCCTGAGGAAGCATATCAGCGAAATGCGTTAGGAACAAAAAGGCACATATCTAATTCAATACATTGAGCACATCCAAGGTGTACTGGTCAGGGTAAGCAGAATTGGTGTACAACACTAACTTGCTATCAGTGTATACTGTGTTGAGCTCAAAGTTCTACTATAAGGCCAACATGCTGGCCATGTCCTGTTTTGTGATCTGCTTATAGAGGTATTGAAAAAAAAGTAATCTCACCTGAATGACACCACAGGAATGGGCTTCAGAACACATAGTACCCACAAAGGCCAATCCAACTGTAGCACCCTGAAAATCTGTGTCCCTGCAAACACAAGCAAGTCAAAGATGAATACAAAACTTATTTGAAAACATTTCATTTTACACAGTCAACATAAATGGCTAATATATTTAATGTAGATCTAATAACCTGTTTGTTATTCTAAAGAAAACAGGTACCTTAGAATTCCCACCCCTTGTTTCTGGAAAGTTGCACAACATTGTCCATCTCAGTGGTGGCATCCATAACTGGAAGGACCAAGGATTTAGGAAAGTCTTTGTGCCACTCTGCAGTGCAGCAATTTAGGTTTCTGTACAAATTCACATGAAACATGTTCAGGAACTACTGGAATGTGGACAATTATTTAAACTGTCCAATCATTAGTATTTGGTTATTTCATGACATGAAGGAAAGATTCTTCATGACCCCTTACATTACTATGTTGTCCTGTTTGTTCTCTAAAGGCAGAATCGTGTCTTTATGGAGCTGGCGTTTTGCACAGGTGCACACTCATGCTGGAACAGAAGAGGGCCTTCCCCTAGGCATTATCAGTACCCTTCATCTGAACTCATCAATTTGGAGGGGTGTCCAGATACTTTTGGACATATAAGATTCTTCATGACCCCTTACATTACTCTTTTATCCTGTTTGCTTTATAAAGGCAGAATTATGCCTTAAGGCCGTGACACACTGCACGCGAAGCAGCGCGGAGCGGTGGCGCGCTGCCTTTGCGAGCAGTGTGTCATGTCACTTTCTTCTCGGCACCTCAGCTTGCGAGAGCTCGCCGAGCTGAGCGTGCCGAGATGAACAATTTCAACTTCAGCCAATTGGCTCGCGCGTATAAACCGGCGCGACGGGATGCGACGTCTGCCCGGTTGTTACAGACGAGCCGATTGGCTGAAGGTGCAGTCAATCATCTGACTGCACTCAGCTCACACACTGCACGCGAAGCTCCGTGCCGGAGAGCTTTGCTTCGCTCTGCACGGCTTCGCGTGCAGTGTGTCACGGCCCTTAATGGAGTTGGCTTTTTGGACAGGGGCACGTTCATGCTGGAATCAAAAAGGGCCTTCCCCTAGGCATTAACAGTACCCTTCATCTGAACTCATTAGTTTGGAGGGGTGTCCATATACTTTTGGACATATAGTGTATGTATCACCACCTATGCTTTCCTATTAGGAGGTAGCAACTGCACAAATAAGAAACCAAGTAGCGTCCGCATTGATGGGGTGCTTACGTTATAAACTGGGCATTGTCATTAAATATTCTTGGGAGCAAAACTTGTTTTCTCCATGTACAGAACCTGTCAAGATTTATGTTGGCTGAGGTTGAGACTTCAAAGAGGTCTTTCTTATCCCAGAATTCGATCCCAATTAGTGCCACAAATGTACCGATTTGTTTATACACCTAGAAGAGAGTAAGCAAAAGATCCGTCAATTCTGCACTAAACTCACAGTTACAAGTTACGCTTAGTACACAGCAAGGTCAAGAAAACTGGGAAAAATTGGCCAACAGACATTATTATTATTTGTATTAATATTATTATTCTTAATAATAATAATCATGTCTATTATTTAGCTTATTTAAAAATGTACATTCTCAAAGCGCTTTGCAAGAGAAAGAAATACAACAACAGATACTAGACATGTGCGATTCGTTTAGAATCAAATTTCATATGAATTTTCTGAAATTCCGACATTCAGACACATCCGAATTTCCAAATTCCAAAGCATCCGAATCTGAATTTCCATTTCCGAATTTCGGGCCAATAACATGTGTTTTATGTGGCAACATGGGAGCCATATACAGTATATACATATAATACAAAAGCTGAGGCTCCTAGACCCGAATGGCATTCGGGATCCAAATTTCCCAATTGCATTCGAGAGCTCCCGAATGCCATTCGGGTCTGGGAGCCTCAGCTTTAAAAATATATGTATATGGCTCCCAAACCCGAACGGCATTTGGGAGCTCCCAAATGCAATTCGGAAATTCAGGTCCCGAATGCCATTCAGGTCTAGGAGATTCAGCTTTAGTATTAATATCTGTATTTGGTTTTCTGTGGTATTCACAACGAATATTCATAAACTCATCCGAAACTTACGACAATTCGTATTTCGTCTGAATCCGAAACCCAAACCGAATTGAATTTCGGATCTGAATCCCGAAAGAATGAAATATACGAACCAAATTTTTCTACAGCTTACATGTCTAACAGATACACACACACACACACAAAATGAACAGTTAGGTAAAGTCTTGTCTAAAGAAGAAAAGTTTCAGCTTGGATTTGAAAGAGTTTACAGAAGTTTACTCTGATGTTCCTGTGAACAGGAACAGGAACAGTTTGAAGTACACACAGAAGACCAGAATTAGAGGAGTGAAGGTTGCGATGGCGGGAGTGGTGATAAACGTTCAGACAGATAAAGGCGTCAAGCCATGCAGAGCCTTACAGACAAAGGACTCCAGCATATGAATAATATTATTACTTACACTAGACCTAATCAGGATTCAAGTTACAACATCTTGGCGTGGATTTAGGTATCTCGGCAAGTAGAGCATTACAAGAGTCAAGTCGGGAGAACACAAGTGTTTTGATCAGCTTTTCAGCCACAGTGTGTGATAACATAGGACGTAGTTGAGCAATATTTCTTAAGTGAAAAAACGATGTCCTGACAATATTCTTTACATGAAGATCAAATGTTAAGCTAGCCTCAAACATCACACCAAGATTTTTCAATTTAGACTGAAGCTAAAGTACAGTACCATCTACAGATAGAGTTACAGGACTGGCTTTACATAGCTAATGGGGGTTCCAATAAGCATGACTTAAGAAAAACAGCCAAAAATTAGAATCCAGTTGAGTGTGGTTGTATTTCTGAGTATCGGATCGGCATAGAAGTGATAATTAAGGCAATGTGACAAAAGTGGAAACATGTATTTGCTAAAAAGTAAGGGACTCAATATTGTACCCTGAGGGACACCGGACTTAACTGGACCAATTTCAGACTGGAATACACCAAGGGAAAGAAAGTGATAGTGATCAGTAAGATGAGACTTGAACCATTTAAGAGCAATTTTGGAAAACTCCAAATATGGTTTCAAGGCAAGAAAAAGATTGTAGTCTACAATGTCAAAGTCAGTACTTAGGTCAAGGAGAAAAATAGATTGGGAGTTGGATCTGAAGCTATAAAAAAGGTCATTAGTGACCAAGGTGGTTTCTGTGCTGTGCAGTTGTCAAAAAATATATTGGAGAGGTTCAAACAGGTTATTTACAGTCAGGTGATAAGACATGGTAGCACCTTCTAAAATCATAGCAAGGAAGAGTAATTTAGATATGGAGTGAAAGCTGTTTAACTTGTCCAGGTGCTCAATGAATCATTCATTAAATAGAACTAAAACAAGATTTAAATAAATGGCAGGGAATCAAGTCTGCTGGTGGAAGATTTTAGATGAACCTGTAAAGTTGGGTAATCCAGGAAGAGATATGGAAGAACCATGTGTTGTGGAACAAAATGCAATGCCGGACATAGTCCGTCTTGGAGGTTAAAAAAAAATAAAAAATCTAAGTCCTGTTTCAAAACTGTGCTGAGGCTGGTAATGTAGAGGGACAGTGCGGTTTTAGCATTCTTTTGATGGTGCTGTAAAGCTGTCTAGGGTTGCTAAAATGTTTTTTCAATGGTGTGGGAGAAATAGGCAGAGCTAGCAATTTCAATTGTATCCTTATATACTGAATGTAGGTTCTCTATGGATAATGAAGAATGGGGCCAGAATGGTGCCACCTCTGCTAAAGTTTCTAGGAGGCTGCTTTATTGACCTCAGGCAGTTATTGTACCAGTGAGTAGAATGAGAAAAGGAGACAGTTTGAGGTTTTTTTTTTTAAGGAGCACAGGTGTCAAGGGAAGTTGAAAGATCACAACTAAGGAAATGTATTTCAGCAAGACGATCAAAAAAAAAAAACGGAGCAACAAGATAGGAAGGAAATAATTAGCAAATTTGGGTTAATCAATAGAAGCCCAGTTGAGGCAATTTCCAGACGGAAAGGTGTTAATGTGCCCATACACCTGCCGATTATCGTACGATAATCGCGGGAAATCCCGCAATCGTACAATAATCGGCAGGTTTATGGAAGGCGTGCGACCGTTTCTACTGTACGGTCACATGTCTTTTGTCTCCCAAGCAGGTTCGAAAACCCGCCGAGAATCGTACGATCCTCGACGGGTTAGTGGCGTTCTCGGGAGACAAATGCCACACGGGTTGTGCGGCATTGGAGTAATCGGAGGCCCGCCCCTCAGCGGGGCGGGCTTTTGATGATCGCAAGTTCGATCTGCCTGTCCAAGATGGGCAGATCGTACAAGCTTTTAATTACTTTACAACCATCGCATGACTCATGTCGTGCGATGGTTGTAAAGTGTATGGCCAGCTTTAGAAACTAGAAATTCCAGATTGAAAAGATTAGCCATATAGTAACAGTCCTAGGCCAAGGGAAGAGCAAAAGGTGGACAAAAATAGTAATTTACAATGATAAGGTCCAAGGTTTTTCTTTTGTTATGCGTTGGGGCAGCAAACAAATGCAGTTAGCTCAAAGTACCAAAGCAAAGCCAGAAAACCCTTAGCTAACCTGCAAGAGTCTGAGACAATGTGAATAATAGGTATAAGAATTATCTTAAAACGGAGTCATAAAAATGAAAGTTGAAAAGCAAATCCACCTAAGAAGGCTTTACAGAGTTTGGTGTTTGAAAAACAGTAACAATAACAGAAGAATGTGGAACAGCGACATTGAGGACAAGACATTCACAAGAAGACCAATACTAGATTATATTATAATTATTATAGCAACAGGGCATACATTGTACAGCAAACTGTAAATAACAATGATGCCACCTCCTCTGCCAGATTAACATGGGAGGTCAAACAACCTATACCCTGAGGGATACGTTGGTTGAAAAGGAATAGTTTAGGTTGGAGTTGTGCTTTAACCTTTCCATCATTGCACCCTGTAGGCACACAACCTTTGACACTTAAAACAATACCTCTCTGCTACGATCACAGCAGGTACCAAAAGCAATTTCTTGTTTTACTGGTCCTAACCCATATCAGAATATTGTGACAGTGGGTAATATGCATAGAAGACATGACTGTATATCTAACGATGGTGGCCTATATCAGGAAAATGCTTCTTCTTTGCCTCTGATGTCTACAGGCACATACCTGTTTGTGGCTGATGGTAAATCTGACCCTGGTTTTAAATACAATGCAAACAAGACCAATACACAATAAACCTGCAATAAATATCTGTACGTAGCCTTATGTGCGGTAGAAAACTACTGAAAAACAGCAAAATGTCTACAGTTGTAAGAAGGATATATATAAACTTACCTCATTGACATAATTTATTATCTCAAAAATTCTTTTTTGTAAGTCTTCTTTGCTGTTGTTATACTTTACAAACTGAAGAGAAAGAAGGACAATTGTGTTTAAATAGCATTTACTCTCTGTAAGGCGTGACATTTTATAATATAGTGCCACATTGCTGTTCTTTAGTAAGTGGTACATAGAGGGCAATCTGTATACTGCATAGAAGCCATGGTTTCCATACACATCATTGATGATGGCCAAGAAACCTGAAACAGCTGTGTGCAGTCTGGAACAAAATGCTTTATATATAAGGCTATATTTGCACTATGATCTAGATGTTAATCTGGTCAAGTGGAGGAAAAATCAATAATTTGCATGGCTCCATCCACTGCCCTGAGATTAGGATTAATCAGCCTATTTTTGGGATATGTGATAATAATACATGTGAATACCTTCTGTTTTAAAAATGGGCTACATACAAAACCGTTAAAACACACTTCCAATATATCTGTTGACCAAAGTAACCAAACTTTGCCCCCCACTGGGGTGAAGTTACAATTTCCATCATGCATTTGTCTCTGGAGATCTTGCCTGTCAGTCTTGTGATGCCTTATGGGACTAGACGGACAAAGTTTGGGTACCCCTGACGTAAGAGAACAATAAGTTCTGCAGATAGTGTCCTGACTGAACCTGGATTTGAACCAGGTACCTCAGTGTTGCAAGGCAGCAGTGCCAAGCATTGAGCTGGCCAATAAAATGTGAGTGCCCTTGGCATGCAGTGGCAACCTGTTTGCTTCCACATGCCTGGCTGGATATTCTTTTGAACATAATTCTTAGCAAACTGGAGGAACAATCCTGAAGAAAAAAGGGACATCTGGCAATAATGAGTACACGTCACGAGACACAATTCCTCATAGCCCTGTGGGTTCATGTTATAATATAACAATTTTTCAATATAACACTAATTTTGAAGAAAGAATTGCATCTCTGAAAAACCAACTGCCCTAAACTGGGTGGTTCCCAAAGCAAATGACCATTTTCAGCTTAAACGATCAATCAGTTCCAAAGGAAAATCTAATCTAATTTGACCAAACCAATTTTTCTTTGTGGAGTTGGACTATTGTTTTGAAGTAAAAGATTGAAATGATAAAATCTACAATCATTTTTAATTCGGTTTATAGCCAGGATGAGGAAGGCTTGTCTCGGAAAAATGAGCCAGAGCTCAAAATTGTAGATTGTTCAGTCTACATAGTGTATTCCTCGTAGTGGACTGCCAAAGCCTAGGACTATAGACAGTTTAGTCTACATAAAGGGTCAGACTCATCCTATACCTCTTAGGCTCCATTCACACTGGAGCGGCTGTCGAATACATGTGGAGCCACTCTAAACAGAAAAAAACTATGCAGTTTAACGTGCATTGCTCAGACTAATAGCCGCAAATTAGCGGAATCCGTGCAGTTGTTTCACATATAGCGCTTGCGTCCCTTGCAGTTTTCCGCACGGAAAACCACGCGGCAAATGCAAACGCTATATGTGAATGGAGCCTTAGTGAATGGCATGGGCTTGTAGCCTTGTGTGACCCTAGTCCCAGAAATAAAACTTGGTAGTTGGTCCTACTAGATTGAGACCAATGGCACCTACTTTGGACGTCTCATGCAATAAAAGTTAACCATGTGCTAGATCAGGGGTAGGCAACCTTGGCACCAGCTGGAATGCTGAGGTTGCCTACTCCTGTGCTAGATTTAAAGCTCTATGAAGGTCTGCAGAAAATGCTAGCAACACAGATAAACTGATGTTTTGGACACTCATATGCAAGTGTTGATTATACATACCATGGTTTTATCTGCCACAAGGTAAAGCTGGACATACTTCTGAGAATTGAAGAAGTTTAGTTTCTGGAGAAAATGAGAAGGGAAAAGAATATAAGGAGACAGGAATAGAACATAATAGATATATAACATATTATGTTATGTTCATAACATAATAGAACATAAGGGAACATTAAGCTAACACTTAGCAAGTCAGAGCTATACGCCATGCAAACCTTTGGTGCCCTTGGTGGTGTCTCACTAGGGAAGATTTGGAGAGATTTTTTTAAAAATTGTCAATTTTACCTGAGCCAAAATTAGTTTCAAATTTAGCCATGTGGACTATATAGGCAAAAGTTTGTTAAAAAAAATTGCATGGCTTATTCTATCAAAGTGATGTGATCATCATGGCAGCACATCATGATCCAATGGCTTTGTATATATACAAAGCCATGGCAGTACTTACTTTGTTTATTAACACAGCCATATCACTGACAGTGCCAGCACCCAATGAAATGTGTCCATTTGTATTATAGGTAAGGTTAGGATTCCTCAATCTAAATGCCATGTTTCCAGCTTATGAGGGGCTGCTTTCTAGCACAAGGGCATGTGCAGGATAGGACCGTCTCTTAGCAAGCTATTTAATGCCCATTGTACCATACAAACCATCTTCATTTCACCATCACCGTTGACTCCAATACTCCTCTCCAAGATTTCAGCAAAGCACAAATTCTCAGTTTCACTAATCCCTACTGGCTCTGTAAGTTGCCACTTCTCATAGTAGATATATGTGACAGTATTTACAGTGGCTATAATATCAGTTAAAGATTTGGCGCAACAGGATTATAAGACGTCTCACCTCAGCATTGCTGCCCGATCGGGAAGATTTTAAAACCTTTCCTTCTGTCCACGTTGTATTGGTTACACCGCAGGTTTTGGGGGTCTCTTCCTTGTCTTCATATATAGCATGTTCTCCATCGTCTGTCTGATTGAGAGGTTCAATCAAGAATCGGCGATTACGAGTATGAATGACGCCACTAAAATGACAGTAAAATAAATCTCATTACCCTGCTCCTTACCCCAGCTCACCCTGATCCCCCCCTCCTAGCTTAGCTCCCCCTGCTCCCCCTCCCTAACAGAGTACTGGCTCTGTGCTTAGAGATTAGAAGTCTGGACGGCTGCTGAGTCTCTGTTGGTAGGGGGACGGGAGGCTAGCTTAGACAAAGTCTTCAATGCTTCTGCTGTAAACATTGAGGATGAATTGCTCAACAGCACCTGTAGCTACCGAGGTCAGTTATGGATTGTTTTAAAGCCAATTTAATTCTAGTTAAGAACATACAACCATTTCCAGGTACAATAGCTGCTTGATTATGTCTTACATTATGGAGGCAATTCAAATTATGCCTTCTTTCTAATTTTTTGGTGATTGGCACAGAAGATAGGACTATATATAGTTTCTAGGTAGGGATTTGTATGTCATCATGGTGGAAGAGTATGGCAACAATGTCCTCTCACACAGACAGCAGGTTAATAGGAAGTAGGTTGATGTCTTGAGTTTAGTCAAAGTAGATATAGCATTTTAATGTCATTTGTAGTCCTATACACCTGACTCCTGTAAAAAATTTTGAGGTTGGTGCTCTCAAAAGGAAATTGGTTTCTGCTTTTCTTAGTTTTATTGTGCAATGCCCTAATCTAGCATTTGACGCGCAGTGGCCAGTTGCAGCTAAACAAGATGTGAGAACAGAAAACAGACTTAGGACACAAATGTTTGCTCTAATTAAAGATAATTATCCATCATTTTAAAAGAGATAAAACATGGCAGCTATTTAAAACCTGCTAGCATTACCTATGCATTTTCTAACATCTTACCTAAGGCCATTGCAAATACAGATGGAGACCAGAGAATCAACATCCTGTTTTGTATGTCCCTGATAGCAGCAGTGATCCTGCAAGAGACCAAACACAAGAAGATTAATAAGACATAACACCCACATAACTAGGGTTGCCACCATTTCTTCAAATGAAACAAGAATACTCAAGGGGCATGCACGGCAATTCTTTTTTTTTTTTGAGAATATAGGAGAGAGCGAGGAGAGGCAGCCAGGAGAGAGAGCAAGGAGAGACAGCCAGGGGAGGGAGTAAGGAGACCTTCTGTAGAGGATTACAAATCCCAGTAATACATTATACAGCAATACAAAATTATATGAAGCTACATACTCTGTGTTGCTCCGGGGTGGCAGCCTGATGTCTCTGGGGTCTCAAGTGGCCTGTGCGGGCTCTCACCAGGGCTGTGCACACTCTCAGGTGGACTCTGTGAGCTCTCAGGTGGACTCTTCGGGCTCTCAGGTGGGCTGTGCTTACTCTCAGGTGGACTATGCGGGCACTCAGGTGGACTATGTAACCCGGACACAGCCTTCTAAACCCGGACTGTCCGGGTCAATCCCAGGCAGGTGGCAACTCTGTTTTTATTAATTAGCAAATAACTTTGCCATGCTTTGTACCAGAAACATAATTTTGTTTTCATTTTTAATGGGACTGTCCTTCAACTGTTTGTAGGCTGGACAATTTTCATTATTATTATTCAATTTTATTATCCTTAGTAGGTAGAGTAAGTTTGGCAATGAGAGCTGCAGGATATGATTAAATAACTGGGCGAAGAGGGGAGAATGAATGTAGAGTGAAAGATGGTCCTTGAGAAGGTCTAATGCCTACTCACAATTAATCAGCAGGCCTTATATAAAACAGCCACTGAGCCCATATCCAGAACATAATATTCCCCATTTACCAGATTCTCTGGGCTGGTTGTCACTCGAGTCCCATCATTCAGATAGGTTGTCTCTGTGTAATTTTCTGATAGCAGTCCCCTGTAGATAACACCAAAGAAAAGTAGAACATTAGCTGCAATTGTATGAACATGCAACATAATGCATTTAATAGAACAGACACACTGTGAACAAGCAAGAATTAGCGACAGGGACATGTTTTCTGTGTCTGCTCTTCTGTTCTGCTAAGTTGCAGTTCTTGGTCAACAGAAAGGTCCTTTATTATTATATTGTACCAATGACAGCTCACCACAAGTCTCCCTCTAGAACAAACCAACACGTCTTTGCAAAGCCAGCACTCCCTGTGTTGAGCTAAAAGGCCATGTTTATTAAAATCAGGATTTTAGACCACATTCAGTTAAATTACCTTTTAGCACAAAGCTGGGAGTGCTGAACCCACACCTCTGGGGCCTTATATACAGCCCAAGGGGCGCTATTGGCCCTTGGTTTTGCCGACGGCCTCTTGATCCCCGGCACCCAGCAGTGAGAACATTGATTTTTAAAGTAGCTGTAGTGATCTCCAGCAATCTGCAAGTAATATCTCGCCAATCTCTGACTGTCTCCGTCCCCAGGTTGATCTAGTAAGTGTGCAGTCTCTGATAGTCTTCTTAACGTTACATATACTGAACATTATGTGTGGCCGCTTTGTGACATCAGTTGCACATATTTGCAGGCACACAACCAATTGGAATATAATTCAAATCTGACAAGCAAAGTATTTTGTTCAGTGTGGTCATTTGAGTCCATAGTCCTCATATTGGCTGATTGATATTCCCATCGGACACTGGTCAGCTTTGCGATTACTGTTCATGAGGTGGTTCCTTAAAGCACGTACCTAAAATGGGTCATGATTCTGACTGCTAGAGAATTGGTACTTTAAAAAAAATCAGTCCACCCTTCAAGTGGGTTTTATTTCGATGGGCTGAGACAGCCATTGGCTTCTTTTAGATACTCCCAAAAATGAGATCTCCCTACCATATTTCTCAGCTTTGTTCCTGTCCTACCCACCTTTGTGTGCTCCAGAACATCCTGCTGCATTTCCCATGGTATAAAGTGAAAATTCTAATAGGGAGAGTGTCACCCCCTCATAATGATCACCAAGTGAAGAAATCCCCAAGTTGCTCAACTTTATATTACCTTTGAAAAACTAATTATCAGGGCTGAGTGGATTGACCCTTTAAGTAGACATAACCACG